GAGATAGGGTTGATTCGGGTTTAGAGTTGAGAATGAGCACCAAAGGGAACATGGCAGGAACAAGGATGGACTGAGAGAGAAGGAGACGAATTTTTAGAGGAATGGGCATTCGATGGTTTCGTCCGGACTCGTATCAGGCTTGGGACAGCGACCCGTATGTGCTGATCCCAAACATCTCTAGCAGCTTGCGAAAGGACACGAAGGCGGACATTCTTTGCCTTCTGGAATATGCTTCGAGCGTTGTTTTGGGGAGGCACAGGCTATGGCGTTTCCAGTGTGGCTCGTATTGTGGTTTTGTAGAGGTGACGACATTGTTTTCAAAATGTTGCGCGGGCTAGTTGTGTTGATCGTTTTCTGTCAATTTCTAGTTATGAGATGTGTATGGACACATGGAATAGCAATCAACAGTGCCCCCATCAAAACCTCCTCTGCCACGACTGGCCACGAGCACTAACTGCATCGTCATCGTCATAGTCGTCGCCNNTCGCCGTCATCATCACCGTCATCATCATCCTCACCATCATCTTCACAATCTGCACCATCACCATCATCATCATTATGATGTCAGCTTGCTCGTCTTGCTCATCTACATGTTAAAGGGAGCAGCTGCAGTAGTCGTTGCATAAGTAGCAGTAGTGCAGTGGTCGTCGTTGTTGTCGTGTCGCAGCAGCAGTAGTCGTGGCCAGAGTGGCGAGGCAGCGGGATTCAGAACCCTGAACCCCTAAACCCTAAACTCCTAAACCCTAACCCCTGAACCCTAACCCCTGAACCCTAACCCCTAAACCCCTAAACCCTGAACCCTAAACCCCTAAACCCCTAAACCCTAAACCCTAGACCCTGATCCTTAGCCATGCTAGAGGGAAAAAACCCTAAACCCCTAAACCCTAAAGAGCAAACGGCCAGGTCGCAAGCACAGGATGAGCTGGAGTTGTCATGAGTATTAGGCCTGCAGGTGTTGCTCATTATGCCACACTTTAGGCTAACTGTCGTTACCTGACACATGGCTCGATTTGTCCGTAGGGATGACGCCTCACCTTAAAAGAGAGCCTAAACCATCAACTTGGGTCAGGTGGAGGGCATGGGCTACCCCTCTTACGTCTGGGGGGAGGGCCTCGTGGTTGCCAACATCTTCGGGCCTTATGATGCCCGACTGATGCGCCGAAACTCGGATGCAGAGGTTGTAGGTCAGTGTTCCGTAGCTGCAGCTTGCCGGGTGGGTGGGCGGGAGGGGAAGTACGTTTGCTTAAGCCCTGGTGGCCCTAGTGCCTGGGCCTAGAAGGCCTTTTGGTTCACGATCTGTGTCAACCAGAGTCTATCTATTGCCTGCTGCACCCGCGACTCTGGGAAGACTCTTCAACCCAATAAAACGTTTTTGATCTCTGCAAACCATTCAACCCCTCAAACTCCCTTTCAGCCCTTCTCCATGATAGGGGTTTTACTTGAACCCCCCCGCGCCCCACAAAGCAAACAGACATCAATCCCTGAGCGTTTGTACCCCCAAAGCCTTAAGCCCTGAACCCCAACGCGGTCAGTCCTCAATCAGAAACACAAACTTGCACCCGTTCGCAAAAAAAAACACACACACACACACAGAGCCCCGGAACCCCTCTCTATGCTTCGAAGTACACCCCCCCCCCAAGCACAAAAATAGCCATACGAAGCTCTACTAGCAAAGTGCTGTGTATAACGTTTGCTAATAGGAATATATACAATGTCTTTTGCAATATGGTCGATTTCTCTGATCTACCCAGAATCGTATTAAAGCATAATCAGCACTGTTATTCCCTGTAAATTTCAACTTGAAACCCCCTGAACCACCGAAGCCCCCTTGCAAACCTCGGATTGCTTGGAGCATCCTAAACCCCACAAAAAACCAGGCCCTAAGCCGCTTGGAGGATCCTTTTCCCACCTTGGTCAAGCCGTGGAGCTCCGCGTGGGCTCGAGCTCCGGGATGTATCCCAGGCCCCAGAGGGCCTTAAGGGGCTTCGGAGGGTCCAGGGGTGCTGGGATTTTTTTTTCAGGATTTTGGGGTTTCTAGGAAGTTCAGAGTTAGGGATTTTGGATTTAGGGTTCTAGGAAGTTTAGAGTTAGGGATGTTGGATGTAGGGAGTTTGGAGGTTTAGAGCTTGGGGCTTTCTGGCTTGGGATTGTTTCTTGCCACAGGGCTGAGGTAATGTGGAGGGTGGGCTGGCGGGGGGGTGGTCGGGCAGGCATTTTGGGTCTGTCGGATTTCCGGAGTTCGCATTTGGGATGTAGTTTTTTGGTTTAATTTAGGGTGTCAGGGTGCAGGGTGTTTTGGGGTGTATGCTTGAAGTGGTCGCCGACAGGTTGCTGGGATCAAGGCAACAGCAGGTAAGCAGAATTCCGGGGAGGACATTCAAAACGCAACTCAACATCGTGGCCATGTTTCCTGACTGCAGCTCCGTGGAATGTTACAGAAACAAGACGCTTGGCAGTTGAGCCCTATTGATTGCATGAGTCGTACCATAAAGAGGTTCACACAGGAGATGTCCACGATGTTTGCTTGTGGGGTTTTTGGGCTTGGGCTTCAAGTCTTATAGCACTTGGCTAATTATCAGAGGTCAACATTTATTGGAAGAAGGTTTCGTACGAAGCTCAACAGAATCCAATTCCCTGCGAATCCCAAACGGAAACTTCATGCCTCACCACTAGAAATCATGATGACAACACAAATAGTTCGCATAACGAGGAAAAAACTACAAGTCTGAAACCCTAAACCCTAAACCCCCCTGGACTTCAACCTCCTGCGAACATGAAAAAAAACAAGAGGTCCAATGCTTAAGGGCGCAGTTTGAGGTGGGGAGCCTTCATTGCCGAGCATCCTGGGTCGTGGAGCACGCTCACACAGCGACCCGGCTGGGGTCTTTAGGTGAAAGGCTGGGCGGGTTTAGGGGGTTGTGGATGCAGGGCTTTTGGTTTTACGGTAGGTTTGGGGGCTTGGGGTTTCTGATGTTCCAGGTTCGTGATTGAGGTCAGTTTCAGGTTAAAAGTTCCCGGACCGGATGCACGGACAGGACGATAAGAGTTCAAAAGCTGCCTGGCATTTAAAAACCCAAACTCCTAACCTCTAAACCCTAGAAGCTCTAAACCCTAAACCCTATACCCTCTAAGCTCTAAACGGCCCTGAACCCGTAGGCTGAACCCCTCCACGCCAACTCCTACAACCCAGGGATTTGCGATTGGAATCTTACCAAAATCACACCAAACCTGTGACTCTTATCTGAAGGACCGGTGACCCTTCCTTACAAAGAAATTGGGGCGCCATATCCAAGACCATGTAAACCTTGATGAGCCCTGTCCGGGATAGGACCCATCATCTCCGTTTAGGTGGGGATCAGGATTCTTCTGATCCTTGAGGCCCTAAACCCCGACGAAACCCTCACCTTAAACCATCCCTAAACCCGAAACCTAGTCCTCAGAGTGCTCACAGGTGCCCGACGAAGTCCGTCTTTAAGGATGGCTCCTGGGCCTACCGGTTTAAAGCCTCCTCGGGTGGACGCAGCGCGACTGTGCTGCTGTGTCTCGGCTGTCAGTGAGGAGGTCTGGGGTTGAAAAGTTGAGGAGGCAATATAGAAGCCTAAAAAATCGTTCTTTTGTTTTTTTTTTTTGGGGGGGGGGTCCCTTATTATGCTCATAGTATATAATGTATACCCCAAAACCCTAATTAGTCTAGTTATTACGGCCCCGACATTAGGCCTCAGTCTCGATGAATTCAGTTCTAGGGCCTGGCTAGACTTGAGGCCAACAGAGGGGTTCGGATTTAGGGGTTTAGGGTTTCGGGGTTTAGGGTATAGGGGTTTAGGGGTTTAGGGGTTTAGGGGTTTAGGGTTTAGGGGTTTAGGGGTTTAGGGTTTAGGATTTTCGGCTGAAGCACGTAGGCTTCAGGGACTACAAACAGTGAAATCATGCTCTTGTGGCCTGGTACAGACCCACGCCCAACTCTCCTGAAAAGCACATCATCCCAGGACCCTCCAAGTACCCTCAAATAGGGGTAAAGGGTCCCAAATTAAGGGTATTTAGAGTCTAATAGAGGGTAAGATGGAGGGTCTAGGTCCTTTGTGAATTTCCATCCCCTATTGAAGGAGAGGGTTTGAAGAATGGGGGTTTTGCATCGGAATGCCGCAATGGGACTTCTGAAGCCCGGACTCGCGCGCCAGGCGCCAGGCGCCTTCCTTCACCCAATAAGCCCTGCAAGATCCCTGCAATGTTGGCATGGGCCTTGCCCTGTGGCAGGCTTAAAAGATTAACCTCCTCAGATGAAGCTCAAAAGCGGATCCATGACCAGCATGCCTTGCACTTCTCGCACCGCAATCCAAAAACCGAAACCACCCTTTTTCCGGCGGGGCGAGTGGGATACGCCAGGATCCTAATGTTTGGGACCTATGTTCGCCCTAAGCAAGCAAGGCAGCGCCAAAAGGCAAAGCACCGAAACCGAAGCCCCAAACCCCAAGCCCTGAAGCCAATCCCCTTGGGCCTTGGCCTCCGGTTTCCCTACCACCCTAAACCCCGCTGTAAACCTGGGGCAATTTCGGCAGATGGATCTCTTGGGAACCTCTACCCATAGGCTATTAGGGTTCATATTTAGAATCCTATAAGGTAATCCCTAAAAAGGAACTACTAAGGAGCCTATGGGTAAACCCTAAGCCCTGCAGCCAGGTCCGGCGAGGGCGATCCGGGCTACCGCTTCACAGCTCAGGGCCTCGCCGAAGCCGGACTTTGTCTAGCCGGCAAGGTGCCCCCCCTTGATTAGAGTTTAGGGCTTATGCAAACACATCCTCGCTATCCTTAGCTGAGGTTATTGCAATCACTGTTAGTGCTACAACCGTTTCGACGCATTTTTTGTAATTAAACTAAGCGGCCTGTGCCCCTGCTCGGAGAACAAGGAAGCACGCCTCCAAAATTATTTCGGCATCTGACTGGTTTAGAATTTACGTACAAGATCCAGGGTGTTGGTGTAAACACAGCGATAAGTTTACGGAGTGGATAGATCCTGTGGCTTCCGGCTTTCGCACTCCGTCCAGGGCCGCTGAAGGCTTGCAACACTGTATGTCAAAATAGCTGCCGAAGATAGAAGGTGATGGCTCATAGAATGAGATGGTGGTGACGACGATGATGATGATGGTGATGAGGGCTAGCACCATACTCATCAACGCGATGATGGTTTTCGCACCACCTGCCACATGTCCTTTGCAGATTGCAGCCTTCCCCACTCTCCAACTCCAAAACCACACGTGCACTGACGTGTCTCTAAACCAACAGGCTCGAACCCCGAACACTAAATCGACACCCGGTACCCTAAAGGACACCCCACACACCATGCCTTACTTAAGCCCTAAACACCAACAACTTGCCGGAGGTGCCAGGGTGTACGCGCTCAGCCGGGGGCGTCTTCCCCCCAATGGGAGCGTCCCGGTGAAGGTTGAGAGCGTTCGGGGTTTAGGGTCTCGGGTTTGATGTTCGCGGTCTTCTCTGACGGGCAGCTGACAACACTACTGTGATTTTGAGGTTCTTTCGCGTTTTGTTTTTGTTTTTTTGTGGGGGGTGGGGGGGGTGGGGTGGAGAATTGTTACGGGCGCTTATCAGGACTTTAGCGAGGGGACCATGTAGTGTAGAACGCAGTGGATCACCCAGCAAAGATGGGATTCAGATGGGAAGTCGCCTTCCTAATTTGGATAAATGCGGACAGCGTTCGAAGACCTTGGCAGCCTCTGTATACAGCTGGGTAGATGTAATGGCTCTCCGTAAGCTTGCTACATGGGTTCTTTTTCAAGGTGCCTGCAAAGGGTTTGGTAATACAAAAACACATCATTGTGCTCGCAGGCTTGCTTGCAGTAGTCCAGTTCATCTGTTGAAGAAGAAGCGTCATTGGACCTACGTAGGGGCACGAAGCTCTCCAATTCGTCACGATGCCGAAGAACGGAATCAGATAGTCATTGAGGACGGCAGAGCGAGTGGTAACAATTGGAATGTAGGGTGTGGCACGTGTTTGTTGGATGGTAGTGGTAGCAGGAGCAGTGATACTGAGTGTGGTAAGGTTTGTATCTCAATTAGGTCTACACAATACAATGAGGGAGGGAGGGCGGAAGGGAGGGAGTGAGAGACTAACATCAGCAACCCGTCAGCTCACAGTGCCCAGGCCTTCCAACCTGCGGTGATGAAGTCGCGATTAGAGTCGGTCGGCCTCCTGAAAGTGGAGCATGTGAAGGAGGATATGGCCATCATCCTCTAAGTTAGATGGCCCAATTTTCGCTTGCGCCGGTGGCCGCTGCCGAAGCAGGACCGCTTGGAGTTTCGGAGGGCGCGGTCAGTTCGCAGCTCTCCAGCCGAGAGGTCTCACTACCTTGCGGAAGCCATGTGCTGTCAGAAACATATTTGTTCGCAGGCTGAGCTCTACCCTGTACAAACAGATACAAAAATAAGTAGAAATATATAATACATACAATGTATATATATATATATGTATGTATACACATAATGAACACACACAAATATATCTCTATACATATACAGATAGATCGATAGATAGATAGATGGATATATGTGGGCAAACACACATATGTACACATACGATTCTCATCATGAACGTTACGATGATCAGGGTTACTACGTACGTAGGGTTCGCAAAGCGGTTTTGAGACTGGGGTTTGATTATGAAAGGGCTTTGGGTTCAGGCGGGGAACCTTCTCAGTTCCCACCCAGCCCAAGCAGCCTGGACTGTGCCTAGAACAAACCCACTGCTGAAACACCGACAGCCGATCACCAAAAATACAATTGGTTGCTTATCCCGCTTTCTACAGCAGAAAATCAGCAGCAGCACGACCACGACGGCGACCAACCACCACGGCTACTACACAATGACGACGACAACTTGATGCGGAACCTTGTCACATCACGCCCCCATAAGCCTTAGTCGGTTTTTTTCCCTTAGTAGGTAGTGAGGTGTAGGGAATCGCGGCAGGTAACATCTTCATTGCCAGGGCCTCAGCGATGGCCAGGGAGTCAACGGCTGAAGATTAAAAATCGGATAAACGCCACACCGTAACCCCTAAAGCTGCAACTAAAAGGCTTCAATATGAGCTTAGGCCGAGGCCTTGCTAAATATTAGTAACACTAAATGATGAGTGAGACCGTTCCTGAGAGTCCGACTTTTAGCTAAAAGCTATATTTAGTAAACAAGCAGGAAGCATGTTCCAGCTTAGTAGCTGAGGGCACCCATGTCAATAAACCCTGAACCCTAAACCCTATAAGCCCTACCCCTAAACCCTAAATGCTAGCCCTAAACCCTATTCTGCGGCTCTACAGCTTGTTCTGTTGAGCTCATGGGCCTGTTCGCAATGGAGCAGTTGCAGTAGACTGCCTGTCTTGCCCAGACTTGTTGGGCAACCGTGCCGTCAGCGACAGGCCTGAGATCCAAAACACCCTCGCAACCCTCAACTCTTAAAGCCTACAGCCCCGAACCCATCAAACCCCAAAGCCTGAAGAGAAAAGCCCTTCAACCCCTGAGCCTGAAAGTCCAGAATTCCAAAGCCCCGTAAAGACCTAGATCTTCAACACCAACCTGCGCCATCCACGAGGATGGCGCAGAGCTCCGCCAAGCGCAGCCCGGGCTTCCGCGTCTGCACATAGGAGGTTTCTCTAATCTACGGTTGATGATATAAATCCTGCATTACCCATAATAAGGAATGTACCAGAACTCCCATAGTTTAGGGTCCTTAAGGTATTGCAGGATATATGTCATCATTCGTAGTAAAGTCGCAACCTGAGCAACCTGGAGGTCTCCTGATACATTATTTATTATGCAATATAAGGTTCAAAACCATGACAAGGAGGGTCTTCGGGGCCTTATAATTCCATAATGGTAGCATATAGGGTACCTGATATGAATCCGATACCTACCAGGTTTGCTCAGTCGGGTTCCTACCTTAGAAGACTCCTTTAAGGGCCTTGTGGGCTGTTACGTCTTCTAAGGGGTGGATAGAGTTTTGTCAGCATTTGGGGATCATAAGGGCTGTAGAAAGTGTCGCTTACGTGCTTCACAGGGATGTAATAACTAAGGGTTTCTGAGTTAAGGGTTGAAGGCGGGTGTTGCCAAAGTTGATCGTTGTTTGGGCGCTCCTGGTAGCAAGGGTGCCATGCACCATTGGGTATCGAGGGTACTATGGGATTCCCCTGATTAGAAAACCTGATTAGGCATCCCTAGGAATGCAGTGAAATCCACCATCCACCAGAAATGGGGGGGGAGACCAGAACATCCAAACTGAGGGGGGGGGGGACTGCTTCATACTAGTAGTTTAGAACAGCCCCTGCATCATCGTGGCATCTGACTAACTCGTGATACTGTAGACTCATTTTTGCGTACAGCCCATTCCTTGAATAAGGGTGATCTAGAATAGAGATCTAGTAGTATTGCCTGTTTTTTAAGAGGCGGGATCCCTGAATTAAACAGGGCTCCACTCTTCTCTGAAGCTACGGGTTTTGTTCTCTGCAGGGCTCGAGTGTGGAGTTCCGGATGTACAGCCGGTTTAGGGTTTGAGGTTTAGGGCTTAGGGCTTTTAGGGTTTAGGGTTTAGGGGTGTCATATTCGCGGCTTACGGCTTCGCGTTGGTCCTCAAACCTTGAATTTCAACATCCTCAGTCCCTAAACCTTGCTTCTAAGCTCCAATCCCGAAACCCCAAGAGCGTCATTCGTAAACCCTCAACCTGGAATCGTACTCACTTGCTGCACATTTCGGTCAACACATCTTCTACGTAATTCTAAGACGTATCAGAGGATGTGAACTTGCTATCATCAGGTGCAATGAGTCATTAAACCCGAAGCGCTAAACCGACTACACCTTAATGAAACCCTGGCGGCCCTAGCGCTTCTTTCCAAAGGACCCTGCTACCTGTCTGGGGGTTTAGAGCCACAAACCATAACGCCGCCATAATCGTTTGTTCCGAGTATGGGAATCCTGCTTTGTACTGTGCAGGCACTTAGCATCATTTTGGCTTCGATCAGGGCTCAGAGAGTGCAACTTACCCTTTTGAAGCCCAGCTCCGTGTATACCGGCATACACTCTACGCATAAGAGTGGGCATTATTGCAATATCAGGGCTGACCTCTGAAGCCCAGAATTTTTATATGTATATGCTACGGATATCGTACTTTTACTAGGGGGGGGTGGTTGGGTTTAGGGTTTAGGAAAAAAGGGCTTGCAGCTTCACGAGACACTTCAACCGACCGGCCCTCATTCATCGCCCTTTCCGGCTCAGGCAGTGTCCACGTAGGCATAGGCCGCCTGTATCCTCCGTCGCCATACGTCTGAAATCCTATAAGGAGCTGTGTTCCCCTTCTAAGCTGATACAACTAATAACAGAATCGTAGTAGTAATACAGTAATAGTAATCGTAATATAGCAATGGCTAAATTAATCGCAATAGTCATTGTAAAATGATAGAGGGCCAGTGGCCGATCTTTTCGTTTGGTTCTGGGACTCTTTGAGTTCTAGGCTTTGGGGTCCATGGTCGAGGTTGCTTCCGTCATATGCTCTTTGGGACGATCAGAGGGTTTATAAAGGGTTTAGGATATAGGATTTAGGGTTTAGGATTCAGGGTTTAGGGTTAGGGTTTTAGGTTTTAGGGTATCAGCATGTACACGTTACCGGAAGGGGAGGGTCCTTCGACCGTAAACCCAGCAAACCACTCCGGAGGACAGCTGGGCCGAGGTTCACAGCTTGCAACGTCTGTCAGCTAAGAGTGTAAAAATGGGGCCTTAATCACTACCAAAAATTACTATTTTTTTTTGGGGGGGGGTCCTTATTATAGTTATACTATAAAACACCCCCCAAACCCTAGTCTAATTATTAAGGCCCCTTTTGTAGGCATGCGTTTGCCTGTATGACCTGTGCGTCGCTCCCTCCGCACCATGGCCTGGCCGAGTCCTCGGTTAAGGGTTTATGGTAGAGTATAGGGCTCATAGGGTTTAGGGTTTAGGGTCTAGGGTTGTTTAGGGTTTAGGGTTTAGTAGGGTATGGGGTTTAGGGTTTCGTAGGGTATAGGGTCAGAGAACTGAAGTACATCTACGTGCACCAGGTAGCTTTCCAGACAGGAAGGAGCAGGCAGACAGAAAGACAGTTAGGTCAAAGCATTGAGATGATGTAGAAACTACTGTAGTGTAAGTAGTCCGATTCATGACTTGCTCATGACTGGTAATAACCCTAATCCCTAAACCCTAAATCCCTGAAGACATTTGGTTGTTGAGGTCATAGGCTTCTGACCTTTGGTGTATCGTGGGTCCATGTGCAATCACACGTCATGGTCTATCGCAGCTCAACGCTGCTTTCGGCCAGGAGCCCAGAATCAGAAAGCCCGAGACCCCTTTATCACCTTTATCTAAGGAAGCAATGTTTTATGAAGATTTATACGGTTCCATATAGGCTGTTGAGATGCTAAAACCCCTGAACCAAGGAACACAGCTTAAATCGTATGAGGCTCGATCTGACTTAAGGTATATTCCTGAATGCAGGTGTATTGGGCTCGCTGGGAACGGTGCTTGGTGTTTTCGCTTTGGCTATCATCACCAGTGTTGCTGCAACATTGCTGTTGATTTGTCAACCATCCCCTTGTTCTGATCAGTCGTGCTGTCCAGGTTGGACGGTACCAACGCGGTGCTTGTTAATATGAGTTGAGGATTATGAACACAACAACTTCTGCACCAAGTCCTAGAGTTCCACTTCCCTGTATTAATTCCACGAAAATGTAAGGCGTAAACTCTAAACGCATGACGGAAAGCCTAAGCCCTTTGCACCCTAAATCCGAAGCCGTGAATAATGACAAGCCCCGCATCCCTAAACCCTTAAACGATACAGACTTTGGAAGCCCTACACCATTTGCATTTAGAGCCCTTCTAAACCCTGCAAACCCCTGCAAAATCTAAATAAAACCAACAGCAAGCCCCGTAGGTTCCGGAACCCGCGTGCAGCGCGGGGCGCGGCGGAGATCGGTGCAGAGTTGGAAAGTCAGGGGCGGCAGGCGCAAAGAAGGCATTAAGACTTTAATTTGGAGCGATAGGGTTTTCGCACGATTTTGCAAGGTATGGCTTTACAAACATTTCAGCATATTACCAGTTTGTAATACTACACATTTACATAGTGCTGTATGTATATATATATATACATATGCATATATATATATATATTCATACCTACTTACCTAGCCAGCTACCTACCTACCTACCTGCCTGCCTGCCTGCC